GTATGTATTTTGTTGCCATATACATGGGTTTATTTAAAAAGATATATAAATATAGTTATTAGTTATGCACTATGCAGTTTCTAAATATTTTATTTTCTTTGGAAAATAGTATATTTGTTTCATAACATAGTTGTTTTCAAAGATATGGAGCAAATTCTAAGTTTCGTTTTGATGAAATCTTTGCGTTTAATTATCTTTTATTTTTTTCAAACTCTGTAACTAACATTCTGCAAGAAAATAAGAACCTTGAAACTGGTTTAAGATGTGTGAGGGAGAATCATAGTTCTCTAAAATCAAATATCCATTCTGGTTTCAGAAATTCATTTTGGCAACTAATGCTTTAACTTAACTTATGCTTTAAAAATATAATAGCTTTAATTTAACAGAACTTTAACCGCTATCCAATTCTTATATTCATTGCATTAAAATAAAAGTAACATAAAAATAACATAAAATAAGTGAGAAAATTGTTGATTATAAAAGCCTATTTTAAAACGGACATTAGTTAAATAATCACTGTCACCTACAGGCAAACCATAGCTTTTGAGGGCTTTATTTATTTATTTATTTATTTATTTATTTATTTATTTATTTTGGTTTTTTGAGACAGGGTTTCTCTGTAGCTTTGGAGGCTGTCCTGGAACTCACTTTGTAGACCAGGCTGGCCTCGAACTCACAGAGATCTGCCTGCCTCTGCCTCCCGAGTGCTGGGATTAAAGGCGTGCGCCACCAACGTCCGGCCTATGCTTTCTACTTCATTATCATTCACTAATACTTAAATTTTTGTCTTGTTTGAATTAACTAAAATAATAAACCTGAGATATGGGGATATAAGACTATGGACAAAAACCATGTGTAGATTCATGTTACCTCACAGTGAAGCAAATATCTTTAATTTAATTTAATCCAGTGGCCCCCAGCCTTTCTAAAGCTGTGATTCTTTAACAGTTCCTCATGTTATGGTGACCCCAACCATAAAATTATTTTCATTGATATTGCATAACTGTAATTTTCTTACTACTGTGAATCATAATACAAATATATCTGATATGCAACCCCTGGGAAAGGGTTGTTTGAGAACCCAAGGTGGGTCATGATTCACAGGTTGAGAACCACTGCTTTAGTCACTCAGAAGCCTTCAGCAAATGGTACAGATGCTTGGAAGCACAGATTTGGAGCAGACTTGTTCTGTGTTTGCTGCTTATAAAAGGTGCAGGATTCTAGAACTGTCACTATTTCCATTTGGGCTTCAATTTCTCATATCTAAAATGAGAATGCCAGAAACAGATTCTTCAGGCATCAAAACAGCTTAAATATTAGAGACCTACGACAATATAAGCCAGTTTGTATACACCACCTCACTTCGCACATTTCTATGCATTTATAGGGATGATTAAAGTACCTTGAAATAGCTGTCAAGATACCACAATGAGAAATACACACTATTAATAACCAATTTCCTTTAAGCTGAGATTTCATGGTGTGTATGTGTGCACATGTTCATATGTATATATACCTGTATGTGCAGTGTGCCTGCATGTGTGCATGAAGAACAGAAGTAGTTATTTTTTGATTGGGTTTCTCATGGAAACTGTCACTCACTGATTGGGTAGATTTGCTGGAACTCCAACTCTCCTTCCCAGAACCTACATTACAGGCACGAACTGTTTTGCCCAGTCTTTTACATGTGTACCAGGAATCTCAAATGCCTATATGGAAGATACTTTACCAACTAAACCATCTCTTTGACTTCTATGTTGATTTTATTTTATACAAATTTTGCATTTTTTGGTATGGCTACAGTCTTTATAGATTCCAATTTAACTATTATCAAATCTTTATTAAACTATGACTTTGGAAAGTAACAATATTTTTTTAAGTTTTCTCATCTGTAACGAAAATAGTAGCAGTAACTGTCATAGGATTATTGTGTAGAATAATTATTCCACATATGTCCTAGATGTCACCACCACTATCGTCATTATCTTCAATATATGAGGTGTAAAGTTTCAACTCAGCGGTAACAAATACACAATGAATGCTTAAAATAAAGGAGACAACATAATACAAGGAAGACTGTAAATAAAAAGGAAAACAAATATGTCAATTCCAGTTCCCTCTCCCTCCCCACCTCCCCTGGCCCCCACCAACCCCCATCCCATCCCCTTTCTGCTCCCTAGGGAACGTGATGTCTTCCATGGGGGATTTTCAAAGTCATTATATCATTTGGAGCAGGGCCTACCCCCTGCCCCGTGTCTAGGCTGAGAGAGTATTCCTCTATGTGTAATAGGCTCCCGAAGTCTATTCGTATGCTAAGGATAAATACTGATCCACTGACAGAGGCCCCATAGATTGTCCAGGCCTCCTAACTGAGAGCCAGATTCAGGGGGTATGGGTTCATCCTATGCTAGTTTCCCAGCTATCAATCTGGGGTTCATGAGCTCCCCCTTGTTCAGGTCAGCTGTTTCTGTGGGTTTCTTCAGCCTGGTCTTGACCCCTTTGCTCATCACCTCTCCCTCTTTGCAACTGGATTCCAGGAGTTCAGCTCAGTGCAAGCAGCTTTTCAACTAATAGACAATAAGATAAGTTTGAGTATCAACCACAATTTGGAAAAATTGACAAGGAACAAAGCTCGTGGCATAGAGGTTTTCTATTGAGTTAAAGAAGTCGTTTATTTTAAAGTAATATATGAATTGGTTCCTAAATACTAGAAGTTATTGTGAATCTGAAATGCCAAAAATTAGAAAAGAAAATATGTCATGTATGTCTTTATGGTCAAAAGAATACAAAATTGTAGAACATGGGAAAACATGGCAATATGAATGGGTCTTATTTTAATCCCACTAAAGACAATTTTTTGTTGTTGTTGTTTTTGTTTTGTTTTCGAGACAGGGTTTCCTCTTTATTGTTTTGGAGGCTGTCCTGGAACTAGCTCTGTAGATCAGGTTGGCCTCAAACTCACAGAGATTTGCCTGCCTTTGCCTCCTGAGTGCTGGGATTAAAGGCGTGCACCACCAACTCCTGGCAAGACGAATTTTTATAGTAACTCACAAAACAGGAAGTTCCATACTATATATATATATATATATATATATGTATATATATATATGATATTTGTGTTGGTCAATATGATTATCAACATGGCAGATCTAGACTCACCTAAGATAAAAAGAAATTCTGGTATTTAAATATTTGTGTGAAGTCCTTTGGTAGGGCAGCTGCAGTAGGCTAACACACACACACAGACACACACACACACACACACACACACATACACACTCTGAAGTAAGAGTAACAAATTAAATAGAATTACAAGAAAGGGATGGTCAAGTCTAGGACACTTATATTTTACAGATCTGGCTCCTTCCGGAGGCTCTTTTCACAAATACAATACAGAAGGGATGTATGGCCCTCATGAGGATCTTGGTTTGGGGACTTTTGAGGAAACTGGAAAGATCTGAGTATTAACTGAGTGTTAGATCACAGTATATTAATTTTAGTAGCTTTATAAAAATCTATGCAGAAAATGAATTTTCATTAAAAATAACAAGGTATCTTTATTTGCTACATCATATAATCAATTGATTTTTTAATGCTTAGGAATAGAGTGAGTGAAAAATAGGATCCAGAAACTTTCAGGACTCTTAAAGTATCTGATAGAAACTTGGGGAGAAATGTTCACAAAGTCAGGCCACCTGCTTTCTTCCCTTCACTGCACTGTGTCATTTAATCATGGTGCAGTCTGAGTTCAGAAAAGAAAGCAGAAGCCTTTGTTAATTCACAATTAACCTTTGGATTTGGAATCAGGAAAAAATGATATACAATGGCACTGCAGAATCCACAAATAGCAGAGAACTAAGTCAAACAGGCCTTGTGAAAGCAGGGCAGAAATCCATAGTTCTTCTTGTACTTCATGTCTTAATTAAGGTTTCTATTGCTTTAATGAAACATCATGATCAAAGAGCAAGTTGGGGAGGAAAAGGTTCTGTCTTACACTCCCACATTGATGATCCTCATCTATAAAAAATCAGGGCAGGAACTCAAATAGGGCAGGAACCTGAAGGTAGGAGCTGATGCAGAGGCCATAGTGGGATATTGCTTGTTGGTTTGCTTCCCATGACTTGCTCAACCTGGTTTCTTATAGAACCCAGGACCACCAGAGCAGTGATGGAACAACCCACAATGGGTTAGGTCCTCCTCCAACAATCACTGATTGGATGGGAGGCTGGGAGACCTGGTGGGGAGCATAGGGAAGGAGGGTAGGGAGAGGGAGCTGGGATTGACATGTGAAACAAGCTTGTTTCTAACTTAAATAAAAAAAAGGAAAGAAAATACCTTAGAGCCACTTCTTATGAATGCATTTTCTCAATTAAGTTTCCTCCTTTCAGATGCCCCTAATTTGTATGTCAAGTTGACATAAGACTAACAAGCATATGTCTGTAGAATGAATAATATAAATCCAGAAACACTCACTGGGGTTAAAACACTAGAGAGGTATATAAGTATATAAGATAGGAACAGGGTCTCAGCACTAGCATTCAGTCTCCAGCCATGCTGAGTGAATCTGAGGATCAGTGCAGTGAGAACCTCAGTGCAGTCTGAGGATCACCCCTTAGTTCTGATCATTGGTAAAAGTGAGAACTCTCCAGTGGCTGGCCACTTTATTTCTCTAGTCCTGGGATTAAATGCATTTTCTCTGTTGCTCTTTTAGACTGATTCATTCTCATGTAGCTCTGTGTGGACTTGAACTAACAGAGATCCATCTGCCTCTGTCTCCTGAGTCCTGGGATTAAAGGTTTGTGTCACCACTACCTGGCCTCTATGGCTGTGGATAGCTTTGCATTCTGATCTCCAGGAAAGCTTTATTAGATCATAAACAATATATCACCACACACGTCATGTTCCTGCTTCTTATGACCATACACAAAATGACCAAACAAAAATAGCTGTTAGTGGTGACATTGGACTAACATTTAAGAAATTGAACTTCCTGCACTTACCAGCTGTAAACATCGGATAAAATACAAAACAACTAGCACAAGGCTCCAACAGACAAAACCAGAAATGTACTGGAAGAGGTTCATTGCACAGATGCAATGAACATGGGTGAATACAATCCAGCGCAATCCTCTCCAAATGTGCTAGGCAGCCTCTGTTGTAGCAGTAGGTGAATGGCCCAGCTAAGATCCAAGAAAAAGCAGGCTGGCTTCCATCCTAGAGGAATGGGAAAGAGATCACAGCAATCGGGGTCATTAGAGAGGTCAGAAAAAAATGTCACAAACAAAGCCAAAGGGGAGGAGGAATTCTATGTATTAGCCTTGCCTCACTCTCCCATTGATCTCTGAGCTGTGCCTGTTTGGAGAAGACTGAAAAGAAGCCTACCGGAGATCTGAGCTGTTCCTCATCACAGTCAAAAGGGTGGGTGTGATGTGATATCGGTCAAGGTAACTTCTTGATATGATATATGAAAAATCAAATCAAACTACATAGAAGTAGAAAAGAACACATCCCTCACAGCATAACACAGTAGAAATCTACAATACCATGTTCTCCTATGAATCACTGAACATATCATTGCTTCAGACCTGATGTGGAATGAGTGTTCTGGGATAGAATATTACCCGTTTTGTTCAATTTCTGGAGCCTCCAAATGTTTAGAGTTAAATCTATGGGTTCAATTTCTTATGTAGGCACAAATTTCAAAAGGGAAAAAGGTTTTCATGTTAGACATTTGACATTTAAGGAATGTGTGATCCTTTGTTAGCACATGATTTTATACACACCGGCTTTCTTTGAGGTAGAAAACTATGTCTTGTCCAGCAGAACACTGTCAAACATTGGAATCTGTGCCCTGTAAACCTGCAATACTATGTCCTGTTACTAATTAATCTTCCTTTGTGACTAAGTGGTTATTACATCATTTTATTTAAAATTTTAAGTAACAGAGTAATGCTCCATATTTAAATAGTGAAAAGGATCTTTTCCCTAGAAGAACTGGTGGGGGTGGTGCTTAGGGAATGCAATGTACATTTCAAGGTCATTTTTAATTTCAAGTTAATGTTTTATCAATTAGAAGACCCACTTGATTTGAGAGCATTCTGTGTTTTAGTTTAAGAAACCTGTTTCATGGATTGGGTTTGCAAATCTTTATATAATTTAAGTAGCTAAAGACTTATTGACCTTGAAGATTTAATGATACCATTGCTGATAATTCTAACATAAGCACAGATGAGCACCCAGGACTCCAGATGCTCAATCTTTCTCTCTCTCTCTCTCCCTCCCTCTCTCCCTCCCTCCCTCCCTCCCTCCCTCCCTCCCTCCCTCCCTCCCTCTCTCTCTCTCTCTCTCTCTCTCTCTCTCTCTCTCTCTCTCTCTCTCTCTCTGTCTGTCTCTCTCTCTCTCTGTTGCCTGTTACCAGGTTCAAGATAACTTTGTTTGCTAAACTAGAAAAATATTTTGATACCTGAAGTAAAACAAAGTGACAATATTAAGGTACAAATAATCATTAGTTCTCTTTCCTCTGCATATGTAACTCATAGGAAATTTCAACAACTGGAGCATCTGTTGAAGATAGGGACCTGAGGCCTAGTGCTATGCTCTGGCCACTTGATGACAAATTCAGTGGCCCAGACCCTTTTGATAGTTTCTCTGATGAGGGACCAGCCATTGTGATCACCAGTGTTTTTTTACCTTTTCACAAGGTTATGACTTCTAGTGATGTTGGAGGATGCTGCTTTAAGCCCAGGTTATAAGTGTTGATATTTTCTGTGTCTAATCCAACTGGACTCAGATCTAAAGAGCTATAGTAAGGAGAGAGGGGAGTGACAGGTATTGAGTAATGGACCAAATCTACCAATATTCTAAAAATGTTTCTCAGTGGTTGCTTCATTTTAATTGTTTAAATTTTTTAACTCATATTTGTTTATATTACTCCTGTTTTAGTGCCTTTTAAACTCATTCCTCTACAAACTAATAAGAAGTCTGATTCTCACTATTGAGTTTACAGGAGTCAACATGATTTTTACAATGTAATCTTTTAATTATCATTGCTATTTAAATCAAACACAATAGTTCCAATACATTTTGTAATTTACCCCTTAAGTTAACTCTACTAAAAATCAGGATTTGGTACAATGTAGAATTTTCTTATTCAATAGTCTATTTAAACATGTTTTTAAAGATGCTGGGAATTGTATCTTCTCAATTTTCCATCATTGGAGATTCAGGAAGCAACAAGGATGCCCTGTCAAAGTCGAGCCACTTTCTAGTTCCAGGAGTTCAACTTGGAGATAAATTCAGACTGCTTGCAAGTCTAAAGAAAACTCAGTCTCTCCTCACTCAAATCTATTGTCTGTTTATTAATGTGTTTTACCCAGCAGTCATGAAAGAACCTTTTGAGAAGATTACAATTGCTCATGAACTTGATGACATTATTAGTTTATATTCACAACAAATGTAGTCCAAAACTTTTCACATTTTTTGTTTAATTTTTCTTGGTAATAAGTTGTGGATGTTAAACACTAACATAGAAACATATTTTTTCTTCATTTCTAAAAGAAATCCAGAGATGCTTCATCCTACAGCAGACTGGAACAAATGATTTTAAACAAAATAGTGTTAGTTTATATGGGTAATAAATAAAATTCCAGAATTAATTGATGGTATTCTAAAGGCAGGTTTTATTAACTCAGGTTATCTTGGATTTATCATGTAGTCTAACATGGCCTCAAACTGATTATCTTTCTGCCTCAGTTTCCCAGGTTTGCCACAACTAATTTTTATGGTCTGTCTATTAAAAGACAATGGGAAAACCCAGAGTACAACTATTCAAATGCTTAAAATGTTAATGATTTTCTGACTGAATATGAATTAATATAGTGAATCTATAATGAGAAAAAATATAATTCAAGATCTATGTAAAAACCTATCCTTAGAGCTTGGGAGATTGATGAGTGGCTAAAATGTCTGTCATGCAAGAGCAAATACCTGAGTTCAGATCCCTGGTACCCACAGAAAAACCTCCACATGGAAATATGCTTTTGTAATGCAGGTGAAGGGGAAGAGAATCAGGCAGACCCCTGGAGTTAACTGGATAGCCATAATCACTAAATTAGTGATCTTGAGACAGGTGGTGGTGGTGCATGCCTTTAATCCCAGCACTTGAGAAGTAGAGGCAGGTAGATCTCTGTGAGATCAAAGTCAACCTGGTCTACAGAGTGAGTCCCAGAACAACCATGAGAAACCCCGTGTCAAAATACCAAAAAAAACAAAACAAAACAAAATAAAAAACAAAAAACAAATGAGCTTGAGGTTCAGAAAGAGACCTTGTCATGGGAATAAGATGGAGAGTAACTGAGAAAAACACGAGTTTAACCTCTAGCCTGCACACACATGTACATCATGTTTACACATAACCTTACACAATTTCACAGGAAAATATAGAAGCACATGCTCACATATATGAAGCGAGCACACACACACACACACACACACACACACACACACACACACACACACACCACAATTTCCATTAAGGTTATAGCAGGCTAACATAAACAGGATTACAAATTTCAGATTTGAGAAACTATACAGTATTTCTTTTTTTTCTTTTATCATTTTTATTTTAATTTTAAATAGCTTGTTTTACATGTCAATCCCAGTTCCCTCTCCCTCCCCTCCTCCCGCACTCCCCTCCCCCCCAGCCTCCCACCAGTATTTCTTTCAGAAATGGAGAAAATATGTCTTTATTTCTGCATAAAGTTTGGGAGTACATTTCTTATGAATACAAACCAATAATGTCATCAGGTTTATGGTCTATTGTAATCATCTCAAAAGGTTATTTGAGGACTTATACATGATTTCAATATCTGTGTGATGTGGGATTTCTTTCTGTTTGATGTGAATATGTGTTGCTTCTTATTGGTTGTTGAATAAAGTTGTTTTGGCCAATGGCCAGGCAGAATATAGCTAGGTGGGAAATCCAAACAGAGTTACAGAAAAAGAGGCCAAGTCAGGGAGATGCCATATAGTTGGTGGGAAAGCAAGATGTGAGGTAACAAGCCACAAAACTCGTAGTAAAATACAGAATAATATTTGGGTTAATTTAACTGTGAGACCTAGTCAGTAATATGCCTGAGCCATTGGCCAAACAACTGTAATTAATGTTAAACCTTAGAATGGTTATTTGGGAATTGGCAAGTGGGCTAAGAAACCTCCAAGTACATGAGGTACTCAACATGGGGTACCAATATATAACACAGTTTCTTATTTTTTTTGTTGTTGTTATTTTTATTTAAATTAGAAACAATCTTATTTTACTTATCAGTTCTAGTTTCCTCTCCCTCCCTTGCTTCCATGCCGGATAGCGATCCAATATCCCATCCCCCTTTTGCTCCCTAGGGAGGGTGAGACCTTCCATGGAGGCTCATCAAAGTCTGTCACATGATTTGAGACAGGGCCTAGGCCCTCCCCTTTGTCTCTAGGCTGTTAGAGTATCCCTCTATGGGGAATAAGCTCCCAAAGTCCATTCATACATTAGGAATAAATACTATTCCACTACTAGAGGCCCCATAGATTGCCCAGGTCTCCTAACTGATACCCAGGTTCAGGAGGCCTGGATTGATTCTATGCTGGGTTCCCAGCTGTCTGTCTGGGGTCCATGAGCTACCACTTGTTCAGGTCAGCTGTTTCTGTGGGTTTTCTCAGCCTGGCCTTGACCCCTTTAGTCATCACTCCTCCCTCTCTTTAACTGGATTCCCAGAGTTCAGCTCACTGCTTAGCTGTGAATCTCTGCTTCTGCTTCCATCAGCTACTGGATGCAGGCTCTAGAATGGCATATAAAGTAGTCATCAATCTCAATACAGGGGAAGGGCATTTAAGCTAGACTCTCCACTATTGCTTAGATTCTTAATTGGGGGTCATATGTGTAGATTTATGGACATTTCCCTGGTGCCAGATTTGTCTATAAACCTACAATGGCTCCCTCTATTATGGTATCTCTTTTCTTGCTCTTCTCTATTCTTCCCCCGAGTCAGTCTTCCTGCTCCTCCATGTCCTCCTCACCCCACCTCTTCTTGCCTTCTCTTTCTCCTAACTCTCCTCCCCCCCACCATTGCTCAGGCGATCACTCCCCTTTCCCCTTCTCTGGCAGACTATCTATGTCTCTCTTAGGGTCTTCTTGTTTCCTGACTTCTCTGGAGGTATGGATTGTAGGC